AGAGGTATGCCACAAAGTTTTTAGAGAATTTTTAGATGCTTAATTCTAATCCTACTAGAACTCCCATTGAGACTGATATGAGATTAGTTAAGGAAGAAGATGGACGTTCTTTTGATTCAAATGCTTTCGGTGAAACAATATATTAAAATGCGATTTGTAAATGTATTGATTTGTATTTCTACAACACTATAAGCTTGGTATTGTTTATAGATACAAATGAGAACCAATGTGGCAAGAACTACAACTTATTTTTGGTCCCCGGCCACACAAAGAAAATTATCATCTTCATGATGATAAAATGTTAAGTAATTCTATTGCTTCCAACTCAAATATTGATGCAAGTAAGATTATCAGCAATGTTTTTAAACTTTCAAATATTCTATTTTTTTTAAAAAAAAATTGATTATATCCAATTGCAATTCAAATGATTTTCAATGCAGTGTATGTGAGTGATTCGTATGATGAGCAGCATAATGATGATCCCATTTTTTTTATTTTTTTGTTATGAGATTTTTATTTTTTATTTTTAATGCAGGGTGTCTATATCATATTGAAGTTGTAAGAGTTTTGAGGCAAATTCATATAAAGCATTCCTATTTGCTCATGTTCGATAGGAATTGTTGAATAAATCAATAAATTGGCTCATGTAAAGTAGTTTGTATTATATGAAGGTGGGTAATGAAACATTTCTATATCAAGTAGAAATAAATCATTATAGATCTAATAAATACTTATATATTGATTAAAATTTATATATGTTATACTAATTCAAATTATTTTTTTCAACAAACCATGTTAATGTAAATAAATAGGCAACAGAAAGAAAATATCCATCTACAAGAAATTCTAAATTAATGACAGAAATATTAGTAAATGTAAAGTAATATAGTCATTTACCTAATGTTTTTCAATTTCATTTGTTATTATTCACAGCTGGTAACCTAAGTTTAAGGTTTTACACAATTAATCAAATCAGACATCTGGCTTCAGTTAACTGCTGATGCATCGCATGAATATCACACTGGCCAACAAATATCAACCGCTATCAAATTTCAGTGTAACTTTTGGAACACATACAATGATAAACAATATTTTATCTAACAATAATGAACTAAATTATGATTAGATGCATAATTTAGTTTTTTTTTTCCTTTAAACATAAATTATTTTAGAAATTATTTTCCTTAAATATTCTTAAACACATGAGGGTGACAATATTAGAACTTATCTTTTTATTTTTCCCTAAAATTACACAAACCAGCCCCAATCCATACACATATACACATTAATACCATAAAAATAAATAACATGAACGATGATTACATAACTATGCAGAATAATCAAGTTAAATTAAAACAAGCAGTTAAGTCAAATTATAAAAAATATGTTCTTTGGACTGCTAAAACAAGTTATATAAGCTAACAAATGAAAACACTAACATATAGTATAACACCAATGGTACAACAAATGAATTAAATGCAAAATATAATTTTTACACCAAAACTATGAAAGAAATCCAATCACATGGATATAATACAATGTATTTAATCAATCACCTAGAAAACATACATTATATGCATGTTAGTTTTCACACTTCACAACAAGTACATATATACATTTTCAATAATAGTACAAAATATTTTTTACAATTACAAAACAAAATAAAAGTGGCCACTATATCTACTTTGGTGTATGCCACTTCAAAAAGTATATAGTACAAACTTTACGCCAAATATATGTTTCAAAATATTACAAAATACATGTCCATCAGTGCTGCAAACTTTGAAGATGTTCCAATGCATTAGTTAGAGTATCTTGATCACAAGGCCAACAAATTGACAGTTAGTTTTCACGCTGCAATTTTTCTTTATTGATACGTTTTAACGAAAATTATTTCCACAAAGACTTTTGATTATTTCATTTATTACTAGCTGCAAGGAAAGCCAAACTTGATTCAAAGTATTTGACTTTTTTTTTTTTTTTTTATCGTTGAACAAGGTATGAACAGCTGCAACTAATTCATCAATGGACTTGGGAGCCTTTTGGTACCGTAAATACTGAATTGAATTAAAGAAACCAAGATCTAGTACATTCAGATCTAAACTATTTGAAGGTTGTGAACAAAGATGAATCTCAAATCCATCTCTGTTTGCAACCAAAACAAACTCGGGATCATTGATAGAGATATGAGGTTTCGCATTATCATGTTGCACATAACAATCTTAGAGCGAGATTTTGGCCACTTGTCTCGAATTTCTGGTATTACTTTCTCTATCAAACATGTTCTAATAACATCACTGGTAATACTAGTTACAACTTTAATCTCTAAGGTTCCAACATCTCTATTCTTACTTTTCCGTTTCGCCGGTTCTTGATATATAAGGAAATATTCCTATTTTTCCATCAAAGAACTCAAAATTATTGCCACCCAATGTTGGACGTGCTACGACAGCCATAAACATAATCTTAGGTATGAAGTTTTTACTTTGACATTTCGGTGTGGATCCGCTTTTTCGAGAGCAAGATAATAAAGTTTTCGATAAATAAAACTATTTTTCATCAATATGTATGTAATTAAACATACCTTCAAAAGTAGGACTTTCGTTTAGTGTACTTTGATAAACTTTTGAAATGCAAAAATCAAGCCGTGCCTTTTTGTTTGCATTAGATAATGAAGGCTTAATGGTATTTGAATGGTGTATCAGAAAACCTTCTTTGAATTAATTGTGAATTGTTGATTTGGATACCTTAAGTACAGTGCTAAGTGAGCAAAGATTGGAACGTTGTCGTAGAAGCACTTGTGCTACAACACCAGGATCAATTTGAATCTTCTTACGACCGCTTTTATTTGCCCTCGATGATACGTTCACCACTTCGCCAACAAGTATATTTTTTCTTCATTGAGCCCATATTCGTTGTGCAATGTGATCAGTAACTTCAAATTGATGAGCATTTTGTTTGACGAAACCAAATTTTACTTTTCTATCTCTACTTTGCTGTAAAAGAATTTGGAACATCAATTTTCTATCCTCGTTAGTAAGCCTCTTTCATTTGGCTCTAGGCACTCTAACATCATTTTCATTTAACACGGTTGAATCCATATTTTAAAATTTTTCCAAAAAGTGTGAGAAAGATAAATGAAATAAATATTTGAAGAAATTTTTTTTATATATGGCTGAAAAAGTGATGAAATTTTCAATTCATTTGGCGGCAAAGCAAGATTAATAAAAATGCCGCCGTAAGAGTAAAATAAAGGAAAAGAAAAATTGATTTGACAGGGTGTGTTTGTTTGGGGGATTGGATTTAATTTCCACTATTCATTCCATCCCCCAAAAAAAAAACATCAAATCAAACACCTATTTTTCATTTTTTATATCATACTAAATATCAATTTTTCATTCAAAACATCACATCAACAAACACAGAATGTTTTGAACAAACACAATTTTTTTTTTTTACAAAATGGGATACCTCACAAAATTAAATTGAAGTTAAAACATGCATACAATTGCTATGCTGTTGCATTTCTTCGGATTGTAAATCTCTTCGAAATGAACAATAAACCCATGACCTCACGGTCACAAGTTCAACTCCTACGCCATCAGGCCATCCTTAGGGGACTATTATTTTATATTTTACCTATCATAACTGAAAGTACTTTTTTATTGTGGCAATTACATGCTAATATTAAAATATTTTTATTATTTTATATAAATTACAAATATACTATCGCAACACAAATACATAAAATATAGAGAACACAAATATCAAAACTATCTTACACACTTTTACTAAATGATAAAATACTATTTCATTTTTCTTTTGGAGTATTTTTTATTAAATTAAGAAATAATAGAAATAATAGTATTTTATTGTTCAGTAAAAGTATAAATTTTTTTGACATTTTTACCTTTTGATTTTATTAAAATAATTATGTATATAATGATATATTTGTAATTTAAATAAAAAATATTTTTTATTAATATATAATTACTTTTACTACAATAAAAATAAACTTATAAATGGAAGAGACAAAATGATAAAAAAAGGTTATAAAAAATAAAAATAATAAAAATTAATGCATTATTTCATAACCATGCGTTCACGGGGTCATGTAGAGTAAAATAATATTTTATTAATATTTTTTGAAATATATATAGTTATATAATATCGGGGCTGTTTGGTAAAGAAAAATAAAAATGGAGAAATAAAAATATCTTCATTTATCTTGTTTGGTATAGATAATAATTGAAAATTAAAAAATAAATTATTTCTTATTACCTATTTTAATTTCTCTCATGTACGAAGAGAAATAGAGAGAAATTAAATAAAAAAGTTTGTGTATGTTTATTTATTTATTTATATTTAACTTTTACGATTTAATTTGTATTTATTTGTTTTTTACTATTATTTATGATTTTATAATTTTTATATTATACACCTCTCATGAAATATTATATTTAAATTATTATTAAAATAAACTATCAAAATAAAATATAACTAAAAAATTCTTTCTCTGTCCGCGTCTAAGGTCGCATTTACCTTTTGCGTTATTACTTAATATTAAAAATATTTTTATATTTATATAATATTTTTTGTACAAATATTTTATATTAGTATTTTTTTTATATTTTTCAATCTAAATTCCCTAATGTACTCAATAAATGAATCCATTCTCACTGTATGCTCAATTTATTTTTCTACAATTCTATTGTCTAATATCATTTCTCTCATCCGCATTTTCATTCTCTGTATCAGCAGCACCTTTAATCAATAATTGTATGAATATTTTAAAAATGTTTATATAATTACGGCTTTTCTTTTATAAATGGATACTATTTTCTATTTTTGAGAATTAAAATGCCTGTGAAGATACTGGGTTATTTTGTAATAAGGCCCAAAGTTTTAACAAAAATTAAATGGGCCGGCCCATGATAAACCCTAAGCCCATTACCTATTGCAAGCACAGTCTTGCTTCTTTGTACTTATTCTAGTTGAGAGTAAAAACAACCCTCGGAAAAGTAATCCGCCTGTATCCGCTTGCCGCTCTTGGCTGACCATACGAGTTTCTCCCCAATGGTTCGTCGATGCTGTTCGATATGAGTTTTGAGCGAAAGCACCATGTTTCCGTAATGTTTAATTTGAATTATTATTTATTTATTTTCTTTGGCAGGCGCCGAAGAAGGATAAGGCTCCTCCACCGTCATCTAAGCCGGCGAAATCCGGAGGAGGCAAGCAGAAGAAGAAGGTTGGAATCTACTTGTGTTTTTGTTTGTTTGTTTGTTTGTTTGGTTTTTTCCCTGCTGAGTTTCTGTGGGTCGAATCAGTAATTTTGTGGGGGAATATTGTGGCGAAAATGCCATAATTGCAGAAGTGGAGCAAGGGAAAGCAGAAGGAGAAGGTGAACAACATGGTGTCGTTTGACAAGGGCACGTACGACAAGCTGCTCTCCGAGGCGCCTAAATTCAAACTCATAACACCGTCTGTTCTCTCCGATCGTCTCAGGGTAATTCCACTATTCATGAATTGAATAATGCGTGCATGTTGATGGTTTCGAAATCTGTTCCTAAAGTATTAGGTCTGCATTTATATTAACATATGCAATTTGAAGATTCTTTAGAAGTGATTTAACTGTTAGTTTAGGTTGAAAGTGTCTAGCTCCCGCAGTTGAAGAAATTCACACTTTTGAAGCTACTTTTATATCCTTTCACTTCTGATGTGAAATAATTTTTTCATAATGTGATTGAAATCTCTAAGACTGTAACAAGAATATTTTTAAGGGTTTTCAATTCCTGTTTATCTAGTTATTGGTGGTTCATGAAACCCTAGCTGCTCCTACATTCCCTTTGAAGTTGCTTTATGAAGCTTGTTGTCAGTTCCTACGGGCTTGTTTATTTTGTGTGAACTGTCAAAGGATTATTTAAACAGTAATGTAATCCGACATAGTAGGATTTAATAGTTCATAGCACAATATTATATGATTACTTGAGTTATTGGCTCTGATAGTTTATACTACATCTACATGTTGTCGAAAAGTTAAGAATCTTTGGAGTTTTAATTCTTGTCTTGGTCTTGAGGTATAAAGGTGAAGGAAAAAAAAAATGGAACATGGACTGAATGTGATATACCCTAGATTAGATTTAGACAAAGTTATGAGGATTGGATTACCTATATCAACAAAGTACACCTTTTTTATAAGCGCATTTGTGAAAAACCATCAGAAAATTACGCATGAACAAGCATGTTTTTCTCAAGAATTTCTACAATTGTGGGAGGGAATCAATCTTATTAAATCCATTCAAATCCGAGGCTAATAGGCTATTTAAAATTAGATCTTTTGTATATTGCGAATAACACACAATTGAAAATGAAGTGTGCAATAAAAGCATAGATTTATGTTATGTGCTGCAATTGTCTTTTAATATATTTATTCATCCGCAATTTGGATATGATTGTATTGCAAGATTCATTTGAAATTCTGATTGTTTATGATACATACTACTCCCCAACAGATTAATGGGTCACTTGCAAGAAAGGCTATTAGAGAGCTGATGGCTGGAGGACTGATAAGAATGGTGTCAGCCCATTCAAGCCAGCAGATATACACCAGAGCCACAAACACCTAGATGGCTATTGTTTTCATCGATTTGGTGAGCTTAATGCAATTTTTTTGTATTAAACAACATGCATGCATTTTTAGATTTGATGCTGAGATGAGAAAATTATAAAATTATTTATGTAATTGCTATCAATCTTACTCCTAAAATTACTTTGTTGGTATTGATGAACTATAAAAGGTAGGCAGGTATAATTGCGATGAAAGGCAAAATGTAATAGATAGTTATATTATTAGACTCTAATTCCTGAGCCTATATTGAATATGTAGTAGATCCCGGTTGTTTAGGTAGGGATGGTAAAAAGTAAAGTGACAGTATTATAGCAAATTTATTAAATAATTGATAAAAAAAAGATAATGAGGTTAGTAGAAAAAATAATGAGAAATTGATTATTATGTATTAAAATAAGGGTAATAAAATTGGTTACTATAAATGAATTGTGCAGTATGAATTGTGCAGAAATTTAACAGTGATATAATTTTAGGAGACTAAGAGAATAGAATTTTATTGGTTATTAAAAGTGTGTAAAATGATTTTTATATTTTTATTCTTATAATATAAAAAAATGAATATTTTTATTATAATACTAGTATATTGGATTAGGAAGGAGGGGGTATATATTTCGTGGCTAATATATACTTTCTCAGTCCTAATACATATCCGTCTCAAAATAATAGTCTCATTTTCATAAATACTCGTATCACCGTAAAATTATTTTTTACTTTATTATTATTATTACACAAATGCTACTATTTTTAGGACAAAAAAGTTTTTTATTCATACTTTTTATTAATTATTAATATAATATCAATATTTGTTAAATTTCGTATCCAACTCTAAGATCATAGTTTTGAGACGGGGAAAAGTATATAATATATATATATATATATATTCTCCGTTGAATGATGTGGAATTTTTTACCATTTTTTTTTTCCAAAAGAAAGTTGTAGTGGTTCCTACCATAAATTTATATCCTACACCCTAAACTCTATTACGCGGCCCCGCCCCAGCCCTCTTCTTGTGTCTATTGCAGTCTCTGGATGCAACGAGGGCTAGGGGTGCACTGAAAACGAAATTGGTAATTAGCATATTTGAATTTGTTTTTTTTTTTTAGATTTAAAAAAAAAAATAATTCTGGCCAAATTCAATTTCAAATTTATGTTTTTCAATTTTAATTTCTCAATTTGAAATTAATTTAAATTTGATATTTACCAAATTGATCAAATTCAATATAAATATAATAAATTTGAATTATGATAATTTAAATCTATTAGTTTATTTAAAATATTATACTAATATAATTAAGTATAAATAAAATAACATAATATAAGATAATTAATTTTTTATTTTTGGTGAATTGGTGTTATATAAAGTAATTTGTTTGAAAAATAAAATATATGTATATATGATACTCCCTCCTTCCGTCCAACTAGAAAGTATATATATTTCTATTTTGGGACGTTCAATTACAAGGTAAACATTTACTTTATATCACAATCATTACTTTTACACCAAAAAACAAGGGTAAAAATGTCATTACACTATTTTTAACTACTCACTATAATTAAAATACTATTATTTCTTAAATACCTCATTTTTTTCCACAAATACTCTTACTTTACATCACAAAAACAAGGGCAAAAATGTCATTACACTACTTTTAACTATACTATAATTAAAATACTATTATTTCTTAAACATCGCGCCAAAAGTAAATGTATACTTTGAGTGTGGACGGAGAGAGTATTAAATAAAATAGTTATTTGAATTTGAAGTCGGTAAATTCGAATTCAAAAATGGTAAAATTAAATTCGAATCAATTTCAAAACTATTGAATTTAGTATATCCGAATATTATTTAAATTACCAGCTTATTGAATATCGTTTAAATTACCAACCGCCATTAGGAACCGAATGGCCTAACCGCCCTGCCACCTAACCGCCAAGAAGATTATATAAGAGATGATAGGATGCTGAAATCGCCCCGCTGCCATTTGTTTGTCTTTTCAATTTCTCTTTTTAGGATGTCACCTTTGGATTGGATACATATGTTCGACTACTGTCGTGAATTTGATGCGTCGATATTTGAATTTAGATTGTATTCTTTTGTGAGTTTTACTATTAGTTTTTTTTTCCTTGAAAAAAATATCACATCAAACATTTACTTATCTTTTTTAAAATTATACTACAAATTTATTTTACATTAATAACATTACATCAACCTCTATTTATATCACATTAAACAAATATTCAAATTCAACTTTTTACTATTAAAAAATTCAAATCCAAAAACTAAAATTCACAAACAAACACACCTTTGGATTTGTATTTGGAACAAAGTTTGATTCATTACTTCAACTGATAGATCAACTTTTGGTATTTGGAAATAAAAATATAGTAGTCCGATGAGTGTTGGTTTGGTATATTTTTACTAATTTTTATTATTCATCAATTTTTGTTTTTCAAAAAATATCAAATAAAATATTTAATTTTTATTTTTTTATATTATATAAAAAATCAATTTTACATTCAAAATTCATATCGTATAATTATTTAAATTTAAATTTTTTACTATTCAAATCTTAGTTATAAATTAAATTTATATCTTCAAACAACACACCTTATATATTTCTTCTATCTCACATATAATATTATGTTTTCTTTCTATCCATCCTACATATAAGTTAAGGCTCAAAACACAAGTATTCAAAGGATTCAATTTCTTGAGATTAAAATCCTCGATAATGGTGCTAAATTATGATATTTAGTGAGACAGGTGTTTTAAATGGATTTAAAATTGATTGAATCTTGACATATTGCAAATGGTCATATAGAATTAATAAAGATCATGTTGTTGTAGACCTTAAATTACTCCCTCACAATTACTTTTATACTTTTTTTTACTGCTTAGTTTTGAAGTTGAACATAAGAATTTTAAGTATTACAATTAAATCAAAGAAAATACTTAACTAAGTCTAGATGATCAGAAAAGCGGTAAGGGTGGCTTCCCGGTGAGCGAGCCGAAAATAGTAAGTTGAGGATTTAAAGAAAGTAGTTAAGTGACCGGGCAGTGAAAGTGCGTAGAGAGATGGCTGACAAGCGGCAAGTGCAGTGAAAGAGACGGTAAGCGGAGCGGAAAAAATGATAGATGAGCGGTATATGTATATTGAAGATGGTGGGCGAGCAATGGCTGATAGTGATAGTGAGAGGGCGACCGACAATATATCAGTGGTGGAAATGTTCAGAGATGCTTGTGGCTGATCTGTGCGTTACTTAATGACTAGGTTTTCATCAATGCAATAAGTGGATGGTGTAGGTGAACAACGAAACATAAATATTACGAAATGACAGAAGAAGTGCATGTGATTATACTTGCTCATTTAAATCAGAATCTTGACTCGTTGATACTTGTTCTCAAAAGATTTATAATTAGACTTTAATGACACCCAGATTCATAACACTATAAACAAAAAAAGTTACTGTCATTAGACATTTTTTAGACCCGATAGACAAGCGAATATGTCCAATTAGTTATTATGAAATCTGTCTCATTAGTGGCTTTATCCTTATGATGCCTTTCTTTAATCAAAATTAAATTTAAATTAGTAGTTAAGCAAGTCGATAAGGCTTAACTACATTGAATTACCTACAATCTGTTAATGAATACAATACGAAAATAGGCCTTGATAATATATTCTTCTGAAGAATTTCCACAGCTTGTCAAGACTCCAACTTAAACAATCAAATATAAACATAGATTTGGGAAGAAGATGAACACGGAGAAATCATAATATTTTATTATTAACTACAAAAGCCGTAAATCTCTGCATCATGAAGCACTAAAGAAAGCAATAACAAAGCTGTAAATTTGCCTAGAAAACAACTAATGGGCGGTCATGGAAGGAGAAGAACTCCACTTCCTTGACCTCCTAGCTATAAGAACTCCTTTATATGATTGAAGCACTCGGAACATGAACAAAGTAACTGCTAAGTAAACACTTGAGTGTAAGTAATTTTACAATTGAGGTTTGACTCTATTTATAGAGTTTAGGAACGGCGGTTTAGCGGTTGCCGGATGACAGTTGAAAGCAGTTGAAATTGCTGAGCAGTTAGATAGTTGGTAGAAGTTAATTTTTTGAATTTGTTGGAATTTCCATAACTCCCAACTTGTCGATTTACTAGTCTGGAATGAGAGGCCGCAAACCTTTCTCGCTTGCTTGGCTTGGCTGAAGGGTATCGGCACAACTCAAACGATCCTATCATCGTTGGCCGGTTTCTGAATGGTTTGACCGATGGGAGATCAACATTTAGATGAATTCATGATAGCTTTAAGATCGTGCTAGTCAGCGGTGAATGTTTGGTTATTGGCTCGGGCGCAAGCGGAAAGAGCATCGATTTCCTCTTACAGGCATGTCTTCGTTGGTTTCTCATACTTGGTTATTTCTGAGCCAGAACATTGTTTAAAAAATGTCAAAACGTTAATAATCTCAACAAACATGTATTAGATCATGTCAAGCAAAATAGATCAATAAAGTACGTCATAAATAAGATATTGTGATAATTTTCACATGAATTTAAATGATACACATTTTTATCAAACGGTAAATATGCTATTATTTGGAGTTATCATTCGACCATAATTGTTGATTTGTAGTGCGTTGCTTTTGTTTTTGTTTTTAGGGAGGTTTATTTGATTGGGGATACCTAATCTTGAAGATGCCAAATGCTAAGATTGAATTAAGCACAAATGTTCAGTTTTATGCAATAACAAATTTACTTATATGATGAAATTAAATCTGAAATAGTTGGTCATGGGTATTATACGCTGGACTTGGAATCGTCAATCTAAATTGTAACCAGTCTATCCACTCTAAGTCCAACACGTGTTGTTGTTATTATTATTTTTTTTTATGTAAAATCAAAACTTAATTTTATACTATTATTTTCAAGTCGGTCTTTATTGCTCAACCCGCTTCGTTATTTATTTATTTATATTATATCAAATTCAAAAATTCAAACTCAATTATATTTGTAGTCCCTCTCTTTCTAACCCATCCAAAATTATTTTTTCCTGCGATGCCAACGACACCAAACGTCTCTACTGCTGACACAGTTTATCTCCATTCCGGTTTACCTGTCTCTTTCTCTCCCCTACTTTTTTTCCTGCCTTTTTTTCTTTTTGCCTAAACCTATCATAAACGGAGAAATACTATCAGATTCCTCATGGTAAAAAATAATTAGGGCAAAATTTTCCAAGCTTTGCAATTGTTTGCCGTCGCTGCTATTCACCTATCACGGGAGAAAATTCAAAAACCGAAACTATAATTTTTACAAAATTTAGTAAATTTTTTTCTTCCCTTCTCCGTTTCTCCTCCGCCTTTTAGTCAAATACTTCAAACTTTTGTGGATTTTCATTATTTATACTACATTGTTGATTATCTTATTTGAAAAAATAAAGCATTGAACTAAGTTTGTTTGGATTTGAACTAAGTTTTTTTAGGATTTTAATCAACTCTAAACAAGCAAAGGAACTTTAATTCTTTGTTATGGACGAAAAATGACTTTTTATTCAATGAAAATTATATTTACCAATTTAGTTTGGATATTACGAAGGTTGAATTTTTTTTGCTCCGTTTATCTACAATGATTTATTTTATATATAGAAGTTTCAAGTTACGGTATGCTTGTTTAGTGATTATATTTCAAAAAATTGTTAGTGTCCAAAGAGGAACTCGTCTAATGCTGCATACAGATCAATTACATGATGTAACATGAAATTATATGTTTAATTAAGAAAAGAGTTTTTTTTTTCTCAAGCATAAAAGAATAAAACTATATAATTTATTTTCGGTCCGATTACGGTGCTATCACATTAGATGTCAGCACCGGGTTGATTTTCTCCAAAAGCACAGAGTAAATATTACGTGAGTATCAATCTTTAGCGCAAATAACACTGTGTTCTTGAAATAAAAGTTATGTGTTATTTATTTATTTTTAAACTGGTACCCACAAAAGTAGGTCTGGTTCTCTATATAAGTGCTATAGAATGTATATTGTGCTCATATTTAAATATATTTGGTATTATCTGAACTTTGAATGAAGCTATTATAACAATTGAATAGTGCTTTCTAAAAATTTGACGGTGCTATATGAGAAAATCAGTACCGTAACAACGGTCATTATCTTTAAAAAATATCACATCAAATCACATGATAATTAGTAAAAAAACTAATAACTAAACAATCCTTCTAATATTATGTATTCAGCCTAACTAACTTCTGAACACTTCACTTTTATCTGTGTAAGTATGCAATACCGCTAACAAAAAAACATATTTAAATAACAAAAATTAGATTAGAGTTTATTTAGATTAGAGCAACAGAACTATCTTGCTTACATAAAAAAAAAAAAAAATCACCTGATTCGTATAAATACTTACACCACTAACCAAATGCGTCAACTATTTCAAAATGGGGGAAATATATTATACTATAAAATAATATAGTAGGAAATTATTCATGTGCGAAAAATGAATTAGCGAATAAATTTTTAGTTAATATAATACAAATATAATATATCAGAATAATCAACAACAAAGCACATATCAAATACAAAATATTTATATCAATACCCCACACGCAATAAATATAAACTGATATAGAAAAGAAAAAGTCTAGATTAGGTATTAGTTTATTTATTTATTTTCTCTTGTTAAAGGCGCAACTGAAAACTAAATTTAAAATTTTAGAAAAAACGACTGTAACTGTAAGAAATGTGGCGGGAGTGATATAGCAGTTGCACGTGCATGCCACGGTGGCAATTTTAAGAAACGGTATAAATAGTGCGAGCGCACCGACTTTTGAATATGCGCTTCAGAAAAGTGAAGGAGCAAAAGTCTGGTTCTGAGCTTCTGGTGTCTAATTGCTTCTGCATTTGCTCTCACTCACTCCGCGGGATTCAAAATCTGTCGATAACTCGGCGCCTTCCATACGGTTAGCGTTAGATGATGAATTTCAATGCGTTGAATGAATTATGTTTATTGCTGCTATTTCTGTGATTGATTATGGTTTTGAATTTTGAATCCAGTTGAGTTGATTGCGATGATAGAACCTAATGATCCGAGAGATTTTACAAAGTCTGTTTTGAACTTGTTCTTATTGTTATTATGTTTTCCAGAGATTTCGAAACCTAGAAATAGCGCCGCTAATTCGCATTGCTTTGGTTAGATTAATCTGCATCTATCGTCGATTTGGTTGTTGCTTGAAATTTTACCTGGAGAAAAGGTAATTGGTGTGGGGGGGAGAGAGTGAGAGAGAGAGAGAGAGAGAGATATCTTTATTTTGAAAATTTGCATAAATATTTCAAATCTTAATTCTGGAGTAGCAAGAATTTTGGGCATAGATATATCTAGCTAGATGGCTGAACGTGTCTTGCAGTAATCTCCACTAGTCTATGGCGGGCGGAAAACTTGATAAGGGAGAAGAAGCTGAGGTTTATGAATATGGCTGGCAGCCGAGTCTTTGTGAGGACGAAGAGGTTGATGAATATGGCTTGCCTTCGGATATTTATGTGGACGACGCAACTTGGATCTCATATTTAGAGCGGCAGGATGAGGCTAGATTTCAAGACGTAGTTAGAATATTAGGGCTGGGAGACACAAATGTAAGGCCATCTCAGCCATTGCATTTGCAGGTGCAGGTGCCTAATAGTCCAACTCCAGGTAGTAAATTCGAACCATCTATAATATATCTGATCTGATCTGATCTGATCTACTCTACTCTGGAAATGAAATGGTGCAAATCTACTATCAGAGGCTATTGGCGTCGGCAATGTCAATGATGGAAAAGAAGCAGTAGCTTCATCTGAGACAGCTGGCGGGGCCTCAGAATCCTCCGTACTGTCGGTCGCAGATGTAATGGCATGTTTTCAGTTTCGCCGGGGAAGCAGCAATGAGAATACAGAGGAAAAACCAGAGACGAGTCGGCAGCAGCAGCAAGACTCCACATTCACCCTTGACAATGACGAGGTCAAAAATCTATATAAATTAGTTAATTCATGCACATTGTTTATTTAACCAAAAAGCTTACTAACATATTTTCATCTTTTCAAACTTCCCTTCAACTTGAACAGTTCCCGACTTTGGCTTTGGCAGCAACTCACTCTCCTCCTCCTCGACGCAACCGCAACCGCAACCGCAACAGAAGAGATCCTTCTTCAGCTGTCAAACCGAATAAAGAAGCCGCAACTTCAACTTCTTCGGCTTCTTCTTCTTCTTCTTCTTCCCGAAACAGAGCTTAGCAAACGTGATGATAAGAGATCCTTCCTTCCTACTTGTGTCTGTGCTAGACTGACTAGAAGCATTTTTGTGACGGACAGACATTCGATTCTCAGGTTAGTTAGTAGATACATATAGGTATAGTAAGTAGAAATAATTCGACAAATTAAATACTACTCAAAGATGATCAAAGTGCATGTGCGATTTGCCTGCACCTTGGTTGGTGCTTCTGTATTTCTGCATTCTACAACAATACAATCATGGGTAAGAATAATACAGCAGACTGGTATTATATTGTTGCTCCTTCTCTTCTGCTTCTGCTGCTGTTAGATTCGCAGGACCGACTGCCTCTCGAGTATTACAAAGGTAAAGAAAGAGGAGATGGCACAAGGCATAATCAAGGCAGGTAAATATTGATTAGGGATTAAGAAGAAAAAAATAAAATAAAATTGTAGTATTGGCGAAATAGGATCATTCGCCATGAGCTGTGTTATACTTAGCACTAGTCTTGGTTTAGTATGCCACACTACACAGCGCATTGTGTTTACTTAAAAGAAAATAACAAATATCTACATGTAATAAAACTTGGTACGAAAAAATTACTTTTTATTTATAATAAAAAATAGGGACATATACATAGGCACCATGCACCATGCGACAAACTCGATAACTCAAATTATAACAAACTAACCTAATGAATAAAATCAAATAACAAATAACTAAATTCCCCCTTCCTTTCTTTCTTCCCCTTGTTCCTCTTCATTCTCCTTCTACTATATTCTCCTCCTCCTCCTTCTTCGGCAGCGGCAGCCACAGCAGCTCGTACCGCGTAGACCGGTTCTCGACCATTTGGGGAAAGCTTATGTCCTCCACGTCTCAACTTCCGTATGGGACAGATTAGCATCTATAAATACTGTTGCTGAAGTCAGCTTCGAGAAAGATGCGAAAATTTGGCGAGTTTTGTCGAAAGATACAGTTGTAATCACTCTACATCCGACTCGACGACCGGAAAGCGCTCCAGTAGATGGGAGTTGGGCTATTAATCAACCTCCTAAAAAATACCAACATCTGACCGATCCTAGTAAAGGCGTCGGCAATGAGATTGATAGTGGCGCATTGATCGGAGTATGGCGACATTAGGAACAATTTGTGACAAGAACATCATGTGTCCATGCGAGAATTGATAAGGTTCGGTTACAAAACATATCAATCAAGCAAAATTCCTATTCTTGCTAGATCGATACTTTTGTGAGACATTTTGTTGTCGTATGATATTATTTGAGATAAAATATTATTTAATTTTTGGATAAATGATGAATATAGCAATAGATTTGCATAAGATAATGTCTACAAAATCTTAACTAATATTTGGATAACGGGATAGCTATAAATATCCATTGATCTAGTTGAGGGAGGACACACACGCATACATATACAATTTTCTCTTTATTTCTTTTTCTTTATTTATTTCTTTCCTTCATTTCTTGCGTCGTCGTTTTGATTTCTTTATTTTTTCTTTTCTTCTTTGCATCTTCTTTTTTATTATTATTTTTTTTTTCAAATACAGTTCCGGATCATTTTTTAAGGAAGTTGGAGAATTTTCCCGACTTTTGGCTGGCTCGTCCCGACAAATCGTCAACAAATATTTTGAGCGGCAACAGTAAATTAACTTAATCAATTATTTTTATTATTAATTGTTATATTATCTGTAGACATATATATACACATGCACAATATCATATATATATATGTGCGCGTGAGCTGTCTATATACCTAGAGAAAGAGAGGAGAAGAGGGAGAGATTTCATTCAATTTGAACGTATAAGTATATACAGTATTTAAGTAGTAACTCCAAGAATTACATAGTTAAAAAGTATATGGGGGATAAATATATATATGCATATCTATCTAGATGTGTTATATAGTTTTACTTAAAAATGTATATGATCTAAATAAACTATATATTTGATTAGATATATATGTTGGAATAATTGGTATAACTGAATTTCACAAATGTTAACCACAATGACAATGCCAATCAAGAAATCCTTAGTTTTCCACCACCACAATGACAATTTCAATCAAGAAATCGCAATCAAGAAATCCTTAGTATTATACAATCACACCCGTTACAATGAAGTATTAGAACATTATATTCGAAACTAAATAAATTTGTAAATATATATAATAACAATAATCATGCTCAAATCACCATTAAATCAACAAACGAAAACCACATCTATAAGAAAAAATAAAGATCAAGAAAACAAACCTAAATACTTTGTCACATGTAAATTTCGGGCCAACTATATATATCCAATCAACAATCCCACCATTTGAAAACGCAACGAATTACGTGAAAACTTTTTATTGTTCTCTGAATATAAAAAAATTGATATATTTTAATTATAATTTGATAAATATATTATAATTAAAATAATAATAGAAAAAAAAAATAAAATAAAAACTCACCAGTATTTCAGCTACATGTGGTGGAAGACTTCTTCTTTGGAAGAAAAATTGCCGCCTATTGAAAAAAATATATTATGATTGAAATAATAATAGACAAATAAAATAAAATAAGAACTAAATAAAAAGAAAGAAGAAAAAATTGGGGAACGAGGGACGACTGTTGTGGATTTTGTGGGGGAAGAAAGTGGAGGATGAATGGAATAAAGTAGGGGAAGACGGTAATTAGGATTTCTGTCACTTCTATTTCTTCGATTATATCTTCTTCTTGTCGTGTAGTTGGATAAATAGGAAGTTGGCTCGAAAGTCCGTAAATATGACAAAGTTTTTTACACTACTCTGCATCAATATCATTAATTATCAAATCCAAGTTCTGATTTGATTTGGTCTACCCTTCAAACGAAGTTGTTTTCTCCGTCCGCTTGCACAGTATTCATCTACCCACAAAATAAATAAATAAGAAAAACATATTTATTTCAAAAGTAGATGAAATCAAAAATAAAAAATAAAAATCATAATTTCTACGAATTTCCATAAATTTGACAAAATTATTTTTTATTCACGTACCTTTTTATTCTTTCAACCTTTTGTAGTCTTACACATTAATGATGTTGAATCTTCCTTCGAATTTTTCCTCATAAGTTAGCGTAATGTTTGAGGTTGAAGACAATGCAATGAGACGCGAAATTGAAAAGTATACCGAATCTAACAGCAACAACAGAAGGAGAAGAGAAGGAGCAACAATATAATGGCGGATTTGTCTGTCACAAAAATGGTTCTAGTCAGTCTAGCACAGACCCAGGTAGGAAGGAGGGATCTCCTTCATCATGTTTGCTAACGTCTGTCAATATAATGCTCGTGACGAAAACTATTTCTTCAGACTGCAATGTCAACTTCAACTTCTTCTTCTTCCCAAAACAGAGCTGAGCAAACATGATAAAGGAGATCCTTCCTTCCTACTTATGTCTGGTGTCTGTGTCATCTGAAATTTGTCCGCAATCTGTATCGACAGAATTTTTTTTTTTTTTTTTTTTTTACACACGCACACATTCAAACTCCTGATGGAAATTTCACCAACACATGCACACACGTCCTCATCCAGGATCTAATTTGGGATCCAACCCTCAAGCGAGGATATCTCACTACAAAAAAATAATATATTTGTAACGGAATTCCGTCCATAAAATTCACGTAGCTAACATAATTCCGTTCTTAATTCCGTCTCTAATGTCATTGGTAATGAAAAAAATAGATTTAGAGAAAAAAAAAGTTTTGTTACAAAAAATAATTTTTTCTTGTACTATCTCACCGCTTGATCTACAAGGGTTTAACTGTATCCTCAGAACTTGAATCCCGCGGAGTGAGTGAGTGAGAGCAAATGCAGAAGCAATTACACAGCAGAAGCTCAGAACCACACTTTCGCTCATTCTCCACACTTTCGCTTATTCAAAACTCGGTGCGCTCGCACTGTATTATATTTATATTTATACCGTTATTTTAAGTTGCCACCGTGGCACGCACGCGCAACTGCTATATCACTCCCGCCCCATTTCTTACGGTTACAGTCTCTTCTTCTATACTTTCTAATTACACCTTTAATAAGACAAAAATAAACTAATACTTTTTCTCTATATATATTATTATACGAATTTTTTGAGCTGTTGACATTATTAGTCGATATTAATATTTATTTATAAAAAATATATATCTAATCAAATATATAGTTTATTTAAATCATTAAATTAGAGATGTATACATTTTTAAGTCGATTTTTTTTTTTCACAAAATATCCCATGAAATATTATTCTAATACCAAATCTAAATCGAATTTTTTCAAACTCAACCAAAAGAAACACACCTGATATGATATATCTGGATAGAGATGCATACATTTATATCCCTATACATTTTAACTATGTAGTTCGTGATATTAGTACTCAAATACTTTATATACTAGTACGTTATTCAAATTGAATGAAATCTCAATCTCAATCTCTACCTCTCCTCCTCTCTTTCTCTACATATATATACACAGCTCAGGCACACACATATATGATGATATTGTACACTGTGTATACCTATGTCTATAGATAATATAACAATTAATAATAAAAATAATTGATTAAATTAATTTACTCTTATTGCTCAAAATATTTTTCGGCGATTTTTCTGTACGAGCCCATCGAAAATCGGGTGGATTCCCCAATTTTCTTCAAATAAGATCCGGAACTATGTTTGAAAAAAAAAATCCAAAAAAAGAAAAATACAAAAGTAGAAAGAAATAGACAAAAAAACAAAAAAGAAAAAAATAAATAAATAAATTAATCAAAACGATGCAAGAAAGAAAGGAAAAAATAATAATAATAAAATTTGCATACAGAAGAAATAAAGAGAAAATTGTGTTTGTATGCTAGTGTGTCCTCCCTCAACAAGATCAATGAATATGTATAGCTACGCCCCTAATCCAAATATTAGTCAAGATTTTGTACACATTATCTTATCCAAATCTATTGCTATATTCATCATTTATCCAAAAATTAAGTAATATTTCATCCCAAATAATATTTTAGAATAACAAATATCCCACAAAAGTATCGATCCAGCAAAAATAGAAATTTTATTTTATTGATATGTTTTGTAACCGAACATTATTGATTAGGGAGAGCAGGAACATATTGATTGGCCATTTGTGAATAGACAGAGAACGAAGGAGAAAGGATTTTTTGAGGAGGATATTTGCCGGAGAGAAAAGAAGGGTTTTTAGGATTTTGAGTGACTGAGTATGGAAAGATGAGATAAGGGTTTTACATAAACCCCACGATGTGACATT